TTTTAATGGTTTTTAGCAACAACCACAGCAATCAAAATAGAAATGCACGATATAAGAAAAAGAAACTGAAGAAAAATGGAGAATATTTAAAAGCGATTGAAACGAAATATAAAAAAAGAAAATATCACTATTTCGTGGTTATATGAAGTAGAACGTTTTTGTGGTATATTAAGTTTAGGAGGTCATAGGGTTTTAGGTAGGTAAAAAATTAAGCCCTCTTGAAATGTGTCCTGCATAATGTTTGCTTGAAGCGTCCATTAGTTAGAGCACTTATAAGGGCCTCGAACTCCCCATTCGTCTTTTTCCCTTTTCTGCTTACATAATGTCTTCAGGTCTCTAAACCTTTAGCATCTTATTATGCTCCCCGCAAGAGTAATTATCCAGGTCAGAATGACTACGGGTATCTACTAATCATTCCAAGCTTTAAGTTTGCTATACCATTCAATGTCAATTGAAAATATTAGAGAACTAAAACTTCACACTTTTTCTTTCAATCATAAATACAAATTTCTGTCCTGAGCCTTGGACCCCGGCAAGCCTAAATCATTTTACAGGTAAACCCATCACCTGCAATGGCGTGGTGTACCAGATTTTTCGCCACAAAGAATAAAGAATACTGCTTTGAAGATATGCGCCGACAGATACATGCAAAACTGTGGAAACCCCGATTTTGTTCCACGATAACGTACAAGCCTGTACCTGGCGTATCAATCTATAACCAAACCTAATAATATGGGAACAATGTTATTATATGATAATAATATGGAAACAATGTTATGGTGTTATGTGATAGTAAGTTGTCCATGCTCCGAAAAAATAGTATTCCAAATTACATACTCTCTAGTTATTATTCATCAGGAATCCGATCCGATCAAATCCGATGGATGTTATATCGGAGCTATACCAAACCATAAACTAGCATTGATTATTTTTTGTAGAAAGATTTGACACTCTATAAGAATTTGATACATCAAACTAGATCGAATTCGGTTAAAAACAATCCCACACCCTCAAAAATACGGAATAATGAGTGTACCATTATATGGGAGCTACCCGGAAACTTGGGCCTATATTGATAATTTATCGCAGGGAGATTTTCAATTTAATAAAAATCCAAAACATAAATGTACAGTTAATTTTGTTGAAGCACGCATCCAAGCTTCATGAAATTCCGAAATTCGGGATGTTGCGTTATATAAATCAAATGGGTGCCAATTCGGTTAAGAAAGGTGTCTAAATCTACAATTATACGGGGAAACATGGGCCAATGTTGATAATTTTTACACATATTCTGCTCAATAAGAATGCAAAATATTAAATTGCTACCGAATTGGTTGAAAGATGTGGGTAACTCCGAAACATAAGCCTATATTGATTACTTTTCATATGCACATCTAATATGCAAATTGAATCCAAAATACCAAAATACAGCTGATTTGGTTGAAAACCTGTATAAAACGGGTTACTCTAGAAAGTGGACCAATATTCATAACTTTTGGTAGAAAGATTTGATACCCAATGAGAACCAAACGTAGCAAATTACAGCCAATTCGGTTGAAATACATATAAAAAATCACCATAATACCGAATATTTGGAGGTATGGGTGGCTATACTAAAAAGTATGAGTGCCTATACCAATAGATGCTCGATTGTTTTCATCTCTTCCCCGACACCCGAAATTTGAGGTAAAGACCGGATCCTGCAGTCACTTGTCATGATACCTATAGTGAGTTAAATTTTTTCTTAGTGTTAGCAATAAGGTAGATCTATGTAATAGCCAATTGGTGGTCATATATATATTCCTAAATCTGTAAATCGGACGACTGTGAAGGGCTAAAAACCTACTCCATTTAGGATGTGAAGTTTGAGATATTGATTTCCTGGTGAGAAATATAAAATTTGTCTTTTTGGGATTAAATACATGAATTGGGGTTGAGGATGATATTTTTTAAATAAATCACTTATCATTTCCAAACGGTGTATGAAAATCAGCATTTATCATGATATGACGGAACTTCTCCAGTGTATAAATTAATGATTCTGCTTTCCTTCATTCCAACTAATTAGAGTCGACGAAATATCTGAATATTCGCGGGGTCCTTCATTATCCAGGAACACCGTTAAGGTGAACCAGGCATGTTATGATTTACTGATCTAGTCAAGATCCAGAAAATAGAAAGGTTATGTAGAAGGGTCTGATCTCTTTTGCATTTGCATAGAGATGTTAGTTTATATGGTTTTATATAGTGACCTTGTTGTTATCAGTCAAATGAGACTTTAATGTTATTTACAGCCTAAATTTAGGCATTAACTAATCCCCTATGAAGCTGTCCAGATCGAAGGGGACCCCTTCTTACATTTTTTACACCCATCTAAGAAGAATGTTTTTAAACCAGTAAGGAAAGTAGTAAAGTCGGACGGACCGACTATATGATACCCTTCACCACTATGGGTATATTAAACAGGACTATTAACATGAAATTGGATGAAATAAAATATGTGATATTTATCTAACTGTGAATCGACTTCAAACAAATATCAATAGATCATCCGTTGGGCTATGTCTGTACTTCTATAAAAGGCAACTACGTAATTCTATGTTCAATTTTGTACGTTGTGCAAAATATGATGTAAATCTGACTAACATGAGGAGTTCAATGTCCAATTTACTTAAAATCGGGCGAAAATATATATGGAAGTTATTTCCGAATATGAACCGATTTCAACGGAACTTGTCACAGGTTAGGTTATACTAATTTCAGTACGTTTTGTTCTTATCAACCATATATTGGATCCTTGGTGCGTCAATTACTTCAAACAATCTATAATATAAGGGAGTTATATCTAAATCTAAACCAATTTTTACGAAACTTGGCATACATCACTCTGGACTAAATTCAGTACGCTATGCCAAATTTCGAGCAAATCGAAGGATATATAGGGACTTTGGTACACCATCTTGACCGATTAGTACGAAAATTGGCAGACATCATTGTAGGCTCAATTCAGTACGTTATGCCAAATTTCGCGCAAATCGAAAGATATATGTGGACTATGGTGCACCATTTACATTAAATCGGACGAAAATATATATGGGAGCTATATCTAAATCTGGACCGATTTTCACGAAACATGACAAATATCACTCTGACAAACATCACTCGCTCAAATCAGTACGTTATTCCACATTTCGTGCAAATCGAAAGATATATGTGGACTATGGTGCACCATTTACATGAAATCGGACGAAACTATATATGGGAGCTATATCTAAGTCTGGACCGATTTTAACTTAACTTCGCAGACATGACTTTATGCTCAATTCAGTACGTTATGCCAACATTTTGTGCAAATCGAAAATATATAGGGACTTTGGTGCACCATTTACATGAAATCGGACGAAACTATATATGGGAGCTATATCTAAATCTGGACCGATTTTTACGAAACTTGGCAGACATCATTCTTGGCTCAATTTAGTACGTTGTACCAAATTTCGTGCAAATCGACGTATATATAAGGTCTTTAGTGCACCATTTACCTTAAATCGGACGAAACTATATATGGGAGCTATATCTAAATCTGGACCGATTTTCTCGAAACCTGGCACACATCATTCTAGGCCTAATTCAGTACGCTGTGCAAAATTTCGTGCAAATCGAAAGTTATTTAGGGACTTTGGTGCACCATTTACCTTAAATCGGACGAAAATATATATGGGAGCTATATCTAAATCTCGTCCTTGGGCCAAATGAATGAGCTGTGCCAAATTTCATCCAATTCGAATAATAAATGCGACCTGTACTTTGTTTACAATTTAACATGGACAGACGGATGGACGGACATACGTAAATCGACTTAGAAAGTGATTCTATGCATATTCTCTAAAGGAACCATGGGTCTATCTCGTTTCCTTTTGCCTGTTACAAACATATGCACAAAGACATAATACCCTGTACCACAGTGTGGTGAAGGCTATAAAAAGATCCATGTTATTGATAGAACCTCCAAGTGACGTTCCAGCCTCATTTTCCATATTTTTAAGGTTTAAGCCGCATTTTCCCACCAAAGTCTCGAACTGTTAATCGAACTTCCCAATATATCTATTGATTTGCACGAAACCTACACAGCGTACTGAGATAAGTCTAGAATGGTGTGTATTAAATTTCCCGAAAATCGGTTCAGATTTAGATATAGCTCCCGTATATTTTTTTCCATTCTAAGTTTACCCGATTGCTATTGCCAAAAGATATGTGTATGGATGGTTCGAAGTCAATTCATATGTAGATGTAAATCATATATTTAATTTCGTCCGATTTCATGACAATCATCCTTCAACAATGCAAGGTCTGTTACAGTAAAAAGTTTCGGAACATCCTTTGTATATACCCAAAGTGTTGAAGGGTATTAAATAGTCGGTCACGTCTGAATTTTGCAATTTCCTCACTGGTTTCCTATCTCCACTCATTGAAATTAATTTCAAACCACATACATTCCTTTTACCAATCGAAGCAAATACAAATTGTAAAAGAATATATAAATGGACGGCAACACTCGTGGTTGGGTGAAACCGAACTTTCAAACAGATGAATGGAATTCCCTGAAACAATTGTCAAATGTTAATGTCAAACTAAAACTTACAAGAATCTTTCTTTCGTTTTTCTTCCGTTTCATTGCAGTTTGTTGGATCAGCAGAAGCACCAAGTGGAATTGAAAGATAGAAACAACACACACCACATACCTCCACAAAAAACTTTTTTGCTACCTCTGCCTCTAGTCGAACCAGACAATTGCTGTGAAAGCAATAAAAGTGATTCAATTTTCTGTGGTCAGAAAGGAGGAGGATAGCACAAACAACAACGGTGCATGTTAACATCGGCGTTAACAAAGGTATCAACGACAACAGTAACAACAATAACGCTTATAGCTTCTGGCCAAAGTATCATCCACAGCAGCAGCATCAACATTGGTATCCACTCAAAGCATGACAACAAGAATCATGAGCAAAAGCATTTCATCTGCAGGTGCTGCTGCTGCCAGTGGTAGTAGTGGCCTGGGTGGAATTCCTACAAACTCGGTGGCATCACCACAATCAACAACAACAGCAGTGGCAACAACAACATCAACGACCACAATTACCTCAGATCCGGGCATTTTATGCTTCCATCATTGCAATGTGAAAGTTTTCTGTTTTACATTGCCGCACATTTGTCCACAATGTAAAACGGCATTGGACACACATCCCAACGGTGGTGGTGGTCTTACAAACAAACGACCCAAGTCCAAGAAAAGAACTCCAGCTACAAATAATGTCCAAATGGCAGCCACTAAAGGACATTATGCCCACAGTCATGGTGATGTTAATAATGACAATAATCGTGATAATGATGATGATCAATGGCATAATGGCAATGACCAACAACATCAGGCCACAATGGATCAGGACTCAGATGACGATGGCGACGACGACGATGAGAATTCAAATGATTCAGTTTGTCACATCATGGACAGTCGCCTCTTGCCATTCCGTTTACCTTATCCATTTGTGCGGGCCAATCAATATCCTTGTGCTATAGTTTTACGTCCCACCACAGGTGATTTTCTCAAGTGAGTAGAAGTTGTTCATTGTTTTTTGTTTCTTTCCATTCCTCATCCATCCTTTCCACCATTTCAATTTTTATTGAATATGTTTTTCAATTTATTTCCCTTTTAGCTGGGAAATCCATACTTAAATCAATTATATCTTTGAGCTTAATTTTTCCATTTATTCTCTCTCCCATTTTCATTTCCTTTCCATATATCCATCCCTTTGTAATGAAATCTCTCTTCATATGTACGTGTGTGTGTTTGTATGCATAATTGTGGCATTTCTTTCCCTTTTTTCAGTGATTATAATAATACCACGGATTTGCATATTGCTGTGACAACATCGACCGGTTGTGTCGTGGAATTTGATCGGCATGGCTTACGACGTCATCGTACAGCCAATATGTCAGATTGGTGGCAATGTCTATTGGTGGGTGATGTTCCAGAGCCCTGGTACGATTATTGGGATCAGGTTTTATTTGAGGTAAGTTATGCAATATTCGTATCATTTGTAATGCAAATTTGTTGCAAAATGACATCCTGCAGGCAATATCAATGAATCAATATCAATGTTCTGCCAGGATGCAGTGAAACCTGACTTTTAGACTTTTTTCCCTGATGAATACAGGCGTGGATTTATAAAGAATATTTTTTAAGGATCGACATAAGAATGGTTATTTAAAGAGTATTCTTCAAGGACCACTATAGGCGAGGATTTTTTAAAGAATATTCTTCAGACCACTATAGGCGTGGATTTTTTAAAGAAAATTTATTCAAGGACCACTATATGCGTGGATTTCTTAAAGAATATTTATTTAAGGACCAATATAAGCGTAGATTTCTTAAAGAATATTTATTCAAGGACCATTATAGGTGTCGTTTTTTTAAAGAATATTTATTCAAGGACCATTATAGGCGTCGATTTTTTAAAGAATATTTTTCAAGGCGAGGATTTTATAAAACATATCTCTTTAAGAGCCCATAGAGGCGTGGATTTTTTTAAAGAATATTTTTCAGATCACTATATGTGTGGATTTTTTAAAGAATAATTTTTTAGGACCAACAGAACCATTGGTTGTAGATTTTTTATGAATATTTTCTTATACCCTTCACCACAGGATATTATGTCTTTGAGCATATGTTTGTAACAGGCAAAAGGAATCGACATAGACCCATGATGAGATTTAGATATACCTCCCATATATAGTTTCGTCCGATTGTTTGTGAATGATGCACCAAACTCCCAATATTTGTCCGATTGGGACAAAATTTTGCACAGAGTACTAAATTAGGTTCAGACTGATGTTTGCGAAGTTTTGTTAAAATGGGTTCAGATTTAGATATAGCTCCCAAATATAGTTTCGTCCGATTTTCTGTGAATGATACACCAAACTCTCAATATTTGTCCGATTGGGACAACATTTTGCACAGAGTACTAAATTAGGTCCAGACTGATGTCTGCGAAGTTTTGTTACAATGGTTCCATACAATAGGTTCCTATTTTAACATTGTTCCATTTGAAAGTCCAGACCTTTTTCGATAGTTTAAAGTTTTTAACGGCATTTTTGCAATGAAATGTAAAGTTTTTTTTTGAAGATTTGAGGGGTTATATCCATCAATGCGTCTATAATTTGCTTCCAGGGTTTTTGAGTAATGAAACGCATGACTTGAATTTTTTTTCTTTATAGGTGCATGTTCTGGCATTGCCCCATATAATGGGCTTGGCATTTTGGAATCGAAGTGACTGTAATTAGGAATTCCATTTGGATATTTTTAATGTTTTAGACAAATTTCCCCGAAGTGGCTGTAATTTCGTACTTCGTTCTCGTAGATTGACTAACTTCTTTACAGAATATTTTCGATCACAAGAAGTTCTGGCCACAGTTTTCCACCGAAATGGCTTTAATTTTGCATTGCTGAAAAATAATTCTTGCTTCAGTTTTTCAAACTGAGTGATTATAATTTTCAGGGTCTTTGGTGCACCATTTACTTAAAATCGGTTGAAAACATATATGGGATCTATATCTAAATCTGAAACGATTTTCTCCAATTTCAATAGGATTCGGCCTTGGGCTGAATAAGTGGTCTGTGCCAAATTTTATCCAATTCTAAACATA